TAACACCAACGTTGCAGTCTCTGTGTCGCAATCGGTCAGTGCGTTCGGCTGTTAACCGAAAGGTTGGTGGTTCAAGGCCAGCCAATGACGAAGTACATGTTTTTCTTAAACTCAATTTATCATGTGTGGATTCGCGATATGAATACAACATTACGTCATTGTTGCAGTCTCTTGGGCGCAATCGGTTATCGCGTTCGGGTATTAACCGATGGGTTGGTGGTTCAAGTCCCCCCAGGGACGAAGTACAATTTTTATTACACACAATTTCTCATGTGTGGAATCGCGATATGAATACAACATCACGTCATTGTTGCATCCTCTGTGACGCAATCGGTTAGCGCGTTCGGCAGTTAACTGAAAGATTGGTGGTTCAAGCACACCCAGGGACGAAGTACATGCAATTTCTCATGTGTGCATTCGTGATATCAATACAACATAAGATCATTGTTGCTGTCCCTATGGCGCAATCGGTTATCGCGTTCGGGTGTTAACCGATGGGTTGGTAGTTCAAGCCCACCCATGGACGAAGTACTAGTTTTTATTACACACAATTTCTCATGTGTGGAATCTCGATATGAATACAACATCACGTCATTTTTGCAGCCTCTGTGGGCAATCGTTAGCGCGTTCGGCTTTTAACCAAAAGCTTGGTGGTTCAAGCGCACACAGGGACGAAGTACAAGTTTTTATTACACACAATTTCACATGTGTGGTTTCGCGATATGAACACAATATAACATCTTTCTTGCAGTTTCTGTGGCGCAATTGGTTAGCGCGTTCGGCTGTAAACCGAAAGGTTGGTGGTTCAACCCCACCCAAGGACGAAGTACAAGTTTTCATTACACACTATTTCTCATGTGTGCATTTGTGATATGAATACAACATAAGATCATTGTTGCAGTCCCTATGGCGCAATCGGTTATCACGTTCGGCTGTTAACCGAAAGATTGGTGGTTCAAGCCCTGCCAATGACGAAGTACATGTTTTTCTTAAACACAATTTATCATGTGTGGATTCGCGATATGAATACAACATTACGTCATTGTTGCATCCTCTGTGACGCAATCGGTTAGCGCGTTCGGCTGTTAACCGAATGATTGGTGGTTCAAGCACACCCAGGGACGAAGTACTAGTTTTTATTACACACAATTTCTCATGTGTGGAATCGCGATATGAATACAACATGAGATCATTGTTGCA